AAATCTAAAGTGCACAGAATTTTCATATTTTATATTTGGTAATATTTTAATATTTTTATATCTTACTATGTATAAGATTTTTAAGATTATTACCAATTTTTACCTACTAATTACATATATTAACAATCGGCAGATTTGCTGGATAAATAACAAGATGAGGGAAAGAAAAGAAATAAATGAAATAAATTGAGGTTTATTTACTTTAAAAAAAAAAAAAAATCCACTAAATGTAATTTGGTTAGTGAAATATGTGATAGTCCACCGCTTCAGATTTTTTTTTTTGTTTTAAATGGAATTTATAAAATGTGTGCCATTTTTTAAAAAAATACTTTTCCATTCGATGTCAGGCTAGTTTTATTCTGATCAAACCTATCAATAAAGTAAAAGTTGGATGAATATAGAAGCGGAGAAGTCTGCTGTCAGGGCCATGGTGAAAGGATCCCATTGCAATTACTTAACGCATTTCATAATTCCAAACTCAAATGTCAGATCTTCTTTCTAAAATCCTTCGAAATCCATGGCCTCTGTTATCTGGGAATCGTGAATAGAGTTTGATTAGACTAAATGCTAATTGAATATTGTAAAGAGAGAATATCTCTTGACTGAATGAGTTAAATAACTTTATTACATCTCTGCGGGGTCTGAGGAACCTTGAGACACGGGTTCGATTCCATGACCCCCAACTCGTCGCTTTGAAAAAATTGAAACCTGATAAGTGAGTAGCGAATCGGAATAGGGAGTTGCGGCCCAGTCTACCTAAGTGAAATGAATGTCAAGATTTTTAATGAAATTTGGGATTACGAACGTACCCCCTGTATTCACATACGCAAACTATTTTTATAATAATTTTACCGATTCCATAAGTTTCACCTGTCAAAAAAAAAATTAATTAACGGACTTGGTAATCAGATACAGAAGAATAAGCGTATGAATAAATAAACAAATAAGAAAAGAATTTTTTAAATATTTTATTACAACGTTTGTGCCATTGAGTATCGGTTTATATTTTCTACCCAACCGAAATGAATCAGCAACCCAAGTATGGTTTACTAGTCATTAATATGGACTTCAAAGATATTGATTTCAATGGTGTACAATATTATCATGAAAAAATATGGTTGCAAAGGTTATTTCTGACTAAGTTCTGTTTTAACTTAAACTAACTATGACTGTAAAGATGGATTCTCCTTCATATTACCAACTTATACTAGTGGTCAATGTTTATTACGTAGGTTCGGCAATGATGTAGCAGTTAACAAAAACAGGCCCAATAAGAACCAAAACTCCTTCAGATACCTGTCTGTTAGGAAGCTGACAATGAATGCTCGGTCAACATGGCCTGAACTACAATAACTTAATGCTCCGGCACTGGAATTCGTAATTTTCAGGATATCAGGAAGCTAAAATTCTACGAGTAATTATAGCAACCCTATTGAAATAAAATACTGAACACACAAAAATAGATTTCCCGTTCAAGAGATAATAGTCACACAGACACAAAGACAGATTAATGATCGAAGATAAATTTCTACATAAAAGGGATTCTGAAACGCATAGAACTGTTGAAAACTGGGCATCGAAAATTAACCCGACTACAATACTTTTCATACTTATTAGTGCTAAGAAAATAAAATATTCTAACAAAAAATCTACTAAAATTTAGATGAATTATATGGTTGTTATTTAGATTATGTATATTATTTGTTAACAATTAAATGACATAGAGAGATACAATATTTTGCGGTGTAAACCCAAGAGGTTGCCTACCCCCAGACCTGGCGGATCGAGAGGTCTTCTTGAGTGATGACAGTGGAGACAGATGGCTACGCTTCCTGCCCCTAAGACAATGCTACAATACTTTTTACCTCGCTGGTGTAACTGGCCTAGTTCCCAGCGCCCCCCGCAATTAGCAAACAATGGCTGCTCAGCAGATTGCGCAACACCCGCGTTCCTCTTAAATAATAATTCCAACCTCTTTGGGTGCAATTTAGCCGTGAATATCTGAGTTGAAAGCTCCAGATGATTCGTTTTTGTTTGGAAATCGTCAATGAATACATTCCGTCCATAATGTATTGTAGCATTTAAATACCTTTGAATGCAAATCTTCACAGGACACGAAATCCTCGGGAATAATTTACACGTCTACAAGGGAAAAACTCTACTAAAATCCTTGTTAAGCTCACTCCTATACAATGAATTAAAAAAGGATATTATTTAAAAAATATTTAAATGAACAACTATGACATGGATCGATCGAGACCGATTACTTACCAGGAACTTATGGAGTGGCAGGTGGCAAGTCCCGCAGACCTCAGACCAAAGAGGACTTCGATTTGGAGGCGGGGTTGTTGGAGAAAATATATTTATCCCTAATTTAATAAAAAAAAATGTAACCCTTAATTAAAAATACATAATTTATAAAAATCCCGACAAAGGCTATTACTCTAGTTTATAACCATATCCATCCCCAGGAACAAAATACACTTACATTTATTCTCATATTACTAGATTCGTATTAAAGTTGACGTCTGTTGAATATCGAAACTTAAGTATTGGGGACTAGAAACAAACATAATATTTCTGAAACATAATATCTTTATTCGTTAGATATCCGATTTGGGAACCGAATCGCCCAGAGATCCCACACTTCCTTATGAAGCAGTATGGTTCACGCCATTGATTGGCGTGTCACCTATACCTGTCACCTACCAAATAGCTTAAGATAGGCCCGGAATACTACTGCATGTTTCTAACCTTTTGCCTCTCTTTTTCCAAATCCAAATATCGTCTCCTCTGTCCAATAATAATTCCTCTTTGGTTGCGATTTAGTCGTGAATGTCTGAGATGAAGGCTCTAGGTGATTAAGACAGTCCCGAAATTTTCTTCAGTACTGCTGTAGGTTTCTAATCTCTTTTCTCTCTTTTTCCGAACCCAAACCTCGCCTCCCTTGTCAAACCGACGGGTTTTGAATTCTTGTCATGGTACTACCTTTGTCCTAAATTCTTTAACCAACGGTTAATTCGAAGTCCGGCCTAAAATCATACTGCCTACCAGTTTACAATCATCCTGTGTCTGGTCACGACGCTCGCAATCAGCTCCTATCGAAATCTCTTTGTTTTTTAAACCGGCATTTTAGTTCCATTTACATTTATCAATATAAACTTACTCCACTTCTAGTATGGATGAAGACATAATTTAGTCATATAAGTAAGTATAGATGTCGGCACTTGTTCAATGGTCGAAAGGTGGAAGAGGGGTAGAATCCAATAGATAATTACATAGCTCAGTTATATGATCCATCACCTGTACAGTTTATTGACCGGAATGAATCTCGACTTATTTACTCTGGTTATAATACGTTTGGATGAACCTCTAGAACAACACCTTATATCCATATTTCAGAGAAATGTGACAAGTTAAGTGGCAACTGAAAAAAATACGTTTATTGGACTTTTTGTGAGTTATTATTACTGAAAAATGTAGGAGGGTTTAATTTATGTATACAAGACAATTGTGAAGGAACGTGAGTTATTATCTCATGTTTTTTTAAAATCCATTTTCTGAAATTTTTACATTTTTAACTGATCTCATTCATAATTAGGTTTAGGCCTTCAAAGTATTTGAAATAAATAAAATCTACCTATTCAAGTTCCGAAAAACATCAGAGGTATCAATAAAGTAACACGTAAGAATTTCAATCCGTTATATTATCAATGTTTACTTATTTATATTTTAAATTGAATATGAATGAGACTAGCGAAGAACAAATGCGTATTATATATATAAACCATTGATTACTTGTGAACATAGTACTTGTTACTGACCCATTTTTAATTAAATTATTAACATCCACGTACAACTTCGTGAATGGCTTCATCTTATCGCAACCTACAAATTGTTTAACAAGAAATTTGTCATAAATGGGCCATTTTCCTATTATAGTAATAAATTGAATGAGGTACTAAAAACTCGTAATTACTCATTTGCTTTTCAATTGAATCGTAAAATAATTTCATCATAAAATCGAAAAAATAAAGGTGACCTTAAAAAATATTGGGGCGTTTCAATTACATAACCTCGTTATTCTGACATATTGGTAATCACGCCAAACAGCCCAATATTTTTACAGGCCACATTTTTTATCGATTTTGAAATCTAATTAGGTTACGATTGAAGTGGAAAGCAACTGGCTATTCATGAGTTTTTAATACCTAATTAAACAGACAATGTTTGCGGATCCCCAGATTGAAAACGCTCCAATTTCCAGAGTTATCGTAAAGAAAAAGTTGTAAGTTAGGATGAGAGAAGTATGATTCCTATAATTTGGTAAGAAGAGGTCTGTACCAACAACTAATATCGCATAATCCCGTCCCACTAGATCTTGTACCTCCGTCCTCTATCCACCTCCCCACCGAACTACAGCGTTTGACAAATCCTTCATAATTCAAGCCGTCTCCTTTTGGAATACCGTCCCTCCCCGATATCTGACATGCTCAATCAGTTTCCTCATTTAAATCTCTCCTTTTTAAGCACCTACTCCTTTCAGAACCCGAGCGATCATGGAATGTAGATGAGAGAACTTTTTAAAGTTTCCCCGGAAAAGATTTCCTTTACTTATGCTATTTTATTTTTTTTTTCCACATTTGGATTATACATATCAGTATGTTTTTAGGGCAATTGTTGTATTCTTTTTCCAAAATCTTAATCTTAATAGGAATTGTAAATAATTAATTTTATGTATGGCCACACAGGTATTTATTCTGTATCTGTAATTTGTCCTAAAGGGCCAACAGTCCCAGGATAATAAAAACAAAAGATATTCCCATTTTCATTTTCATAAACGAATCGCGACTAAGAAATTATTTTTAGAAATTATTAGCAACCATTAATTCCATAAATTGATGTTGTATATATATATATATATATATATATATATATATATATATATATAATTTGAATAGTTTAAGATCACTAATAAGCCTCTGCTTGGTAATTCTTAGAGGATGGAGAATACATGTCCTTTGGGCTGTCCGGAGAGGAAGACAGGAGCGCCATGATCGGGGGCGACGTAGTGGTTGCCTGGGTGGACCAGAGTACCCTCAACGGCTACGCCCACGACTACTACCTCGACGCCAAGTCCCAGTGCGCAGGAACCCATGGAAGCTGTCCCGACTACAGTATCGAGGTATGAAACTAATTTTATAATTATTCAAGTATTTCTGATAGTTTTTTTTGTTTCGCCACTGTCTACGGTAACAGGTATTTAAAAAAATACTAAAAAAAACCGAAAACATTTGCAATGATGTAGACCTGGGCACTCTTGAAATCATTTATTTCTGAAATAATTCATATGGTTATTCCACGAATGTATTATTTCCGGAATAATGGTTATTTCTGAAATAATATTTCAAACTGTCAATGAAATAATCTCGATGGAATAACTGCTAAATTTATTTCTGAAATAATTATTTAAATATTTTAACATTCTTTGGAATAAAGTAAATTATTTCGAAATGAGTGATTTCTGAAATAAATTATTTCAGAATTATTTATTTCATAAATAAATGATTGCAAAATCAAGAAATAAATATTTCAGAAATAACATTGTTCTGAAATAACATAAAAAATTTACCAACATGCACCATGTTTTCGAGGTATCTCTTTATGAAAATAATATCGAATTTGAGTTTGCACCCCCCTTCCCCACCCTCCAGCATCGACTTATTGTAAATTTTCGGATTTAATCGATATCAGGGTCGACTATTATGTTTGCTGGGAAGCTTATTATGAAAATACGGTCGAATTTGAGATTCATTTCAGAAATAATTACATCATTATTCGTGAAATAATTTATTCCAGAAATAATCATTTCGGGAATAACGGTCAGGTTATTTCATGAAATAAATTATTTCGGAAATAACTATCGAGGTTTATTTAAGGATTTCTTCCGGAAATATTTTTCAAATAAATTCTGGCCAGGTCTACAATGAGGTAATTCAGCAGTAGAAAATCACAACATCCAAGTGAATCCAGAGAAGACAGACTGCGTAGTATTTTCTCACCTAAATAATAAAAATAATAGACTGACGAAAGCTCTCCGGGTGGCAAAAAACGACACCAAACCATCGAACTACATATTGTAACTCCGGATAACTGTGGACCGATACCTTCACCTGACAACTCAGATCCACAAAAAGACAAGATCTGCAAGACGACGGTCCTACCTTCGACACCCTCTCATCCTCAGCCCTCTCGCTCAGACTGGAGCTACAGGTATACAAGGCCATACTAGGACCAGCACTCAAGCACGGCACACCGCTGTTAACACATCTAACCGAAAACACGCATCGACACATCCAACAATTTCAATACACATTGTTTTGGAACCTTGTCAGAGCAACTTTCCGAAAGAAAGAAAAACCTCTGGCTCTCCACAACGTAATGGATATCCCAACGATTCCGAAATTTAGCAGTAGAAGGAACTTCAATTTCCTGGACTAACTTAAATTTATTCTTAAAATTAACTCGATTCCCTAACCCATTATTCTCAATTCTAACACCGAAAACTCCGCCAGTGTGAAGGCAGAATACACTACGGAAAGTAACATAGACGTTCATAATTGTATAAATATTAAATATATATTGTATAATATTAGTCTTAGATTAGTTTATTTTTATTTTTTTTTTAAAAAGAGGTATCTAAACTCTTTTTAAAATACTTACGATTTAACGATTTACGACTCCTAGAAAACCCAATCTCAAAATGGCTTTATAATAAGTCCCCGCTTTAGAAAAAAAATGAAAATCCTACATAATATACGTATTCTAAGACTTATAATTCAATATGCACTTATATATATATAACAACTTATAAGTTGTTATACAATTGTAAATAATTTATAACAAATATATTTATTAGGAAACAATAGGTGATAAATGTCGATGGCACACTTATGTATAAATGATGGTTTCAAGATACCATCAAGTGATATGAGACATGTTAAATTCCTAGACTCTTCGAAATACCAAAAAAAAAAATCCATTATTTCAGTCACCGACACCTCCTCCACTGGATTGGCAAAATACATGGTGGTGAACACCAATATTCTATCAACTTTTATATGCTATCATTAACTACTAATATGCTTACTATATACTATCCTTTATAGATAAAACTTACACTTTACTCAAATTTACAATTTAAACAACGGTGAGCCTCACCACCATTGAGAGAGCTCACTAGAAATAAACAATTGGTATTACTTAACGAACTCCAAACCCGCTTTAAGATGAAATGTTTCAGTAAAAAAACAACCTATAAAATAAGTAGGTTACCTGTTGAACATCTAAAGAAGAAAGATATTTTTCAAATAGGGGGTATGGAAAAAAAAAAGTTTTTTTTTTAGATATTTCTTATTGATGTTGAAGCCACCAAGAAAATAATTAGGTATTTTCAATGAGGCTTTAAGTACAGACATACTCGCTACAAATATAACCGTTTTCTTTTTCTTTTCTTTTGGAAAAATGAATTCCCTTGAAAAATTTATAATTATCAAAACAATACTTTTTAAGATAAACAAAAAATCTGTCATTAAGACCCCGAGGTCATAAAAAAAAGTTCTTTAGGATAAAAAATAAAATTAATAAGTCAACGGATAAAAATAAAAGATTAATTGTGGACTTTATGTTAAATATATATTAAACGCAATATAATGATTATAACCCTTCGGTTGTTGATCCAATAGGTCGGAGAGGAGAAGCCTTGATGCAAAAGGCTAGGTACTCCAATAGCTTAAGAGTCACGATGCTATAGTCTCGGATGTTCCAGTTGCAACAATGTTGTACGATGTTGAGGACGGTATAGACATTTGTTGAAAGAAATCGATAAGGGTAATATTTATTCACAATAAATATTCAATATTTACTTAACTGATTCTGCAAATCGAGTAAGCAACTAATTAATCACAACTCGTTATAAACCGTAATTTTATTGATCCGTTGCCATGCAACGCGGGCGAGTCGGTTCATTCCTTGGTAACACCGACAAGTGAGCACTCTCTAACTGCAAATCATTAAACCAAATGTTCTAACACTAAATATATATTTCTTCCGAAAACAAATAAGAATACGAGAAAAAGCAAATAATAATAAAAAATGTAATAAAATAAATATTAAAAGTATCTAAATATCTGTACAAATTCATTTTTGAATTTAAAATTAACAATTGATGTTTCTATAAAAAATATTTTGCAGAGCAATGCTGAAAGCGTGAGGCTGTTGAACGCCGCCTTAGTGAACGGCTACTCGATAGTGACCTACCAGAGACCCCTTCGTGCACATGATGGATTGGACATGCATATCGTAACCAACAGGAGCCAACCGATCATTTGGGCTGTGGGGCCGCTCAATTCCAAGATGGAGGTTTCCTATCACAGCATCACCTCTAAAGGTAATACACAGCTTTAAGTTAAAAAGTAAACGTTAATTCTCTCAAACGAATTTGGTCCTTGATCGGTTTTGCGTAGTTAAGAGATATATCAGTTTGCGTTCCCATATCCCTAGATGCTTCAGTTATTAGTATATGCATATAATTATATGCACAATTATATGTAATTGTGTGAGTTTGCTCCCAGCTGAAAAGACAAAAAACAATTGATTAGAATAAAGTAATCTGTCACACAACGAAATTTTGGGAAACCATTCATAAATGTTTCCATCTGCCATAATTATAATCCGAAGGGCAGTTAGGAGATCGCACTTTCTGATCCATAAGGATAAACAAGTACTACTGATCTATCCAAACCTTCTGATATATTTTAATAAATTTTCAAATTCGTCACAGTTTTATTTTAAAAAATCTTAAGAGTTCTATGCAGAAGAAACAAATATGGTTTTAGACGTGACAGAACAGTTTCTTAAAATATGGAAACAGTATTATAATAAATTACAATATCAGTTAGTGATATAACATCCCTCTATTAAGTTGATGATAGGGTTTGAATTCCGTTATTTATCAATGAAGCTTTTTTCAATTTCTTAATGTCTTCTTCTCCATTTACAGGAAATGTGTTCATCGACTTCGGTCGGCCTCCCAAGTGGAACTGCCCGATCCCTCAATCTGACTCAACATCCGACAGCTCGTCCTCCAGCGAAGAGGTGGCTAATCATGAGCCTGTGAACCAATCACCAAAACAGAGGGTAAAGTCGCCGACTTGAACATAGATAAATTTCATTAATAATGTTACCTGTAGGCTCCTAACCCATAATGTAGACATAATTCTGATCAAAACCCTTTACTCTTCAAAACTAAACATCTCATGAATAAATTGCCACAAAATTCCGACGAAATTATGTATAAGTGTTTACTTTATATGTAATTTTTTATTTTATTTACAATATATACCTCTTTGGACTGAGCATTACTATTGATTGATTAAAACTCTTTATTAATAATAATAATAATAAGGCTTAGCGAACCCGAAGGTTCGATGCCGACACCACCAATCGCTTGTTACACACCTCCCTCCACCGTTCGCCGTCCAAACCCAGTCCCTTCAGATCGGCTTTAATGCAATCCTCCCATCTTCGCTTCGGTCTACCCCTCGGACGCTTACCATTCGGCACAGCAAATATTAACCTTTTAGGAATTCTCTCGTTACTAAGCCCAACAACTTTACAAGCCCATTTGATTCGCCGCGATGAAATTACCTCAATTATATTACCCGGATACATCTCACGCAATTCGGCGTTGTGTAACCGTCTGAACTCTCCGGTTAAGTCATCCTTTTTCGGTCCGAATATTCTACGCAATACTTTATTTTCAAAAACCTTAAGACGCTGCTCATCCCTTAATGTAAGCGGCCAAGTTTCGCATCCATAAAGAACTGTAGGCAAGATAATTGTTTTATAGATTCTAATTTTTAAGTTTCGGGACAAGAGGCGCGAACTGAGTAGTTTTGTCACAGAAAAATAACAAGCATTCCCCGCCTTCAGTCTAACCTTAATCTCTTCTTCAATTTCGTTTTTTCTCGTTATCGTAGAACCTAGATACCTAAATTTATCTACCTGTTCAAACATATTACCATCTATATCGATATCACCAGTAGTATCGCCATTTTTGCAGCTAACCATATATTTTGTTTTATCCACGTTTATTTCGAGTCCTAGTTCTTTCCCGGCTTTCATTAACGTTGTCGTATTCAGTTTTATAGTTTCAACGTCTTCGCTTAACAGTACCAGATCATCAGCATAGCCCAGCACGGATGTTGTCCCGCCCAGATCCAACCCTTTCTCGGTTCGCATTACCTCCCTAATGGCATGTTCTAATGCCAAATTGAACAGGACAGGCGAAAGAGAATCCCCCTGTTTTAAGCCCGAACGAACCTCAAATTTTTCGGACAAATTATTACCGATTCTAACTTTATTGAGTGTCTCCGTCAAGCACATCCTGACTAGATTTACTAGTTTTTTTGGAATCCCCTGCTCGATTAGAATATTATACAGTTTCTGGCGGTCAATAGAATCGTAAGCCTTTTTAAAATCTATATACAGCTGGTGAACAATACCGTTATACTCCAATTTTTTCTCTAATATTTGCCGTAAAGAAAATATTTGATCAATAGTCGAACGATTCCGTCTAAATCCGCATTGGTAGTCTCCGATAATTTCCTCGGCGTATTCCGTGATTCGACTGGTTAAGATTAAAGTGAATATTTTATAACATACCGGAAGGAGTGAAATTCCTCGATAGTTATTACAATCCGTCCTCGGACCCTTTTTGTGAATCGGAATAAGAATAGATTCTTTCCATTCTTCAGGTAATTTCTCGTTCACCCAGATCTTTTTAACCAACCGATGTATTTTAGAAACTCCAGCTTCTCCGCATGCCTTAATTAGTTCAGTAGGAATATTATCGATTCCCGCTGCTTTATATGATTTTAATTTTCCGATAGCTACTTCAACTTCCTCTTTACTTGGTCCTTCTATTAACGGTTCAGCACTCTGGTACTCAGAAGGAGGACACAGATCATAATTTCCCGTATTTAAAATATTGTCAATGTGGTCCTTAAACTTATTCAATATGTCAACCGGATCGGTCAGAATATTGTTATTATCATCCCTAATTCCAGACGTTACGGGCCCTACATATTTACGTGATCTGTTTATACCTTTGTACATGTCTCTTATGTTATTTTCGATTCTATTAGTTTCTATTTCAATTATTTTATTTTTAAGATACTCCCTTTTTTTATTTTTGAGCAATTTTGTCGTTTCGTTCTTTGAGATTCGGAAGTATTCCAGATTGTCTTCGCTAGGATTATTTAGAGCTTTTAATTTAGCGGCTTTTCTTTTTTCACACATGTTTAAGCAATCTTCATCAAACCACGGTTTGTTATTCTTATTTTCCTTTTTTCCTAGACACGAGTTACCGACCGCTTTAATATTATCTCTGATCTCTATCCATAACTTGTCAATATCCTCGTGGTCCTCGTCAGGAAGCTCTAAAGCTTCAAACCTATTCTGAACATCTAGCTCGAATTGGTTTCTAATTGATGGATTTTTTAATTTTTCCAAATTAAAATTCTCAAAATCGAAACGGTTTTCTTTTCTCTTTTTTATATTAAGTTTTTGTCGAAGTTTCGCGATTACTAATTCATGATCCGACCCACATTCTGCTCCGCGATAAGACCGTACATTAATTATACTACTTTGCCAGCTGTGTTGTATCAAGACATGATCGATTTGATTTCGTGTTTGCGAATCCGGCGATGTCCAAGTATATTTATGAATATCCTTATGTTTAAACGTCGTACTTTTAATTATCAGGTTTTTCGAGATGGCAAAGTTTATCAGACGGATCCCATTATCATTACTATATTCGTGCAAACTTTCTTTACCAATCGTCGGAATATAAACTTCTTCCCTTCCTACCTTTGCGTTCGCGTCACCTACAATTATTTTCATGTAGTTTCGTGGTAGTTTATCATAAACCCATTCGAGTTTATCGTAAAATTCACTTTTGACTTCATCGTCACTGTCTTCGGTCGGACAATGTATGTTTATTAATGCGATTTTAAACCAACGTCCCTGAAATGTAGCTACCGAAATTCTATCACTAAAGAATTGTACGTCCCTCAAAGCGGATAGTAATCTACGCCTAATTAGAAACCCGGTACCTAAACAATGATTCTCGCTTCCTCCGTACCAAATAGTGTACTTCCCTTCCCTCATCGAGCCCTCCCCTGGCCAGCGAACCTCTTGCAGAGCCACGACATCCAAATTGTACCCATTTACCTCATTCGCGACCGATTTTAGCCCCCCTGCTGTGTTTAAACTCCTTACGTTCCACGTACCAATATTTAAATCCCTATATTTCAACTTGCGCCATGAATCCCCTAAAGCAGTCCCCACCCGGAGACCCGAACGGGGGACTAGTTTACTTCCGGATAATGAGCGTTTTACCTTAGGAAGATCCATGACTTTTTGTGGTGTTTGGTGAACTAAAGATATGTGAGTAGGGCGTTCAATCCTACGTCACACCCTCCAGCAAGTCTGGTGGGCCCCTACCTCCAGCAAGTCTGGAGGTCCCCTCCCTCCAGCAAGTCTGGAGGGCCCCTCTCATTGTTGGTCAGCGAGTCCATCGGACTTAGCCGGGAGGAACTTCCAAGAAATTTCCACCGACCATCCCCACATCCGCCACCCGTGGGACGCTCCCCATACGCGGTAATGAGCCCGCGCGAGGAAAACTCTTTATTACGGTATGAATAATTACTTCTTGCCTTAAATGTAGAAGATTGTTAATAGTTTTTATGTAAACAGTTATTCATCTCAGTAAGAAACAAATATTTTCAGAGATTAATTCCTATTGTTAATGGTAATTCATTGATTTATCTCCATTTTCATTCCAATATTAAAACTAAAAGTGTGTTAGTTATTTCATTATTAACTATATTTGTAATATACCCGTTCGCATAGACTGAGGCATCCGTTCCCGCTTACAAGGCACCTCCTCCACCAGCACCTGCCCCGACCAACGGGGCTTGGGACATCCCGGCCATCCAGTGCAACGAGCCTGATGACGGAGTCTTCTATGCACAGATGGGACCTACTGGTGGGAAGAGAGGCTACCCTGCCATTACAGGTATACTCACATTCCTATCTTTATTAGCACATAATAGAAGGAAAACATTATACTTATTAACCCACAACAAAATATTTTATAGAATTTCGATTAAATATCTTATCTAATGTAAAATATTACCAGGTCATGTTGGATGGGGAATTGCGTACTACATAAACGGACTGCTGATTCCCGAAATCCATGTTGTCAGGGGCCATACATACAGCTTTGTCGTTGAAGGAGGATTAAACCCAGAAGTTCCAGCCAAGTTCCATCCATTCTACATAACAGATGATCCAGTGGGCGGTTACCAATACAAAACACCCGAAGAAAGAAGGGTAAATGTCATAAAACATGTCAATCCATGATTAATTTTCAAATAAGCTGAACCGCCTTTGGATTAGTAATATTAATTAATTGAAATGTTGAAAGTGTTATTTCATACGATTTAACATAATTCCAGAAAGTGAACATCTATGCCGGAGCAGAACTGGACAAGAACGGAGAAGTGGTTCCAACTGGTATTGGAAGGCTTTGCAACTGGACCCCAGACCCAGAACAGCCGACAGCCGACGAGTTCGCCTCCTTCGGGGCCTACCAGAGGACTCTTACTTTGGTCTGTGATCACGGCGATCCAGCTGTTGTTAGGTGGACACCAGATGACCAAACCCCAGACACTGTATACTACCAGGTAATGATTAATAACATTTTTTTTTATATATAATTATTTGAGGCAGTTATATATATTGTCCTAATATTCTTTTAATTTTGTTTTTAGTGCTTCACTCATCGTCATTTAGGTTGGAAGATTCACGTCCACGACGATTGCGTCCGAGGTAGTGCATCCGAGCCTATACCGAGTATTTTACATCCTGAAGAAGAATTGCAGGCCAAGCCAAGTATCCAAGTTACGACAAGAGTAAAACCAGATTTTCCTCCTCAATCATTGACATCCAATAATAAAATAAAATATCCTAACAAATCTCAGTTTCCTTACGAATTTCAGAAACCTCCAATGGATATGAAGAATGGTAATAACCAAAGTCATATCATTCCTGTGACTGAGGAAGTCGAAGATATCCCCGAAACGACAACAACAAAGCAGATGAGGTTAAACGTGACCTATGATCACCATGATCACCATCCACCGAACGTTGCTTTAGTTAACACAGGCCACAAGCATCCTCCTAACCACCAAGGAAAGGTTCCAATGAGAGTGCCTTACGGAAACCTACGGCCACCACCAAATCACAGGCCGATGATGATAATGAGGAGGCCGGTGACCGGGCCTCAGGTCATCGTGAAGCCACCACCTCAGCATGCGCCTCATATGAACTATCCTATGATACATCATCAGCCCAGGCCTGTTATCGTCAAGAAGCCAATTCACAGAGTCCAACCACGACCACCGATGATGTCCATCCGACCAGGCCCATCTCCAATTGTTGGACCCTCACCAGGCACTGCAGTTGGCCCAGCGCCATCTCCCGGTAACCACCATAAGCAGGTTTACATTCACAAGTTTAAAAAGCCAATTGGAGGTGGAATGCCAATGTCTGAAAAAAACAAAGCAAAACTACATCCATCTCAAATGATCGGACAGAGTGCTGAGGAATTGAGTACTAAACTGCCAATAGCCGTCAACACCGGTTTCAATCCTGGCTCATTAGTAATCGAGAGTGGTTTCACACCAATCATAAATAATCCGCAGGTCGCTGAGGAGAGAGTCAGTGAGATCGAATACGATGACGATGACTATAACAATAATGAAGGAGTAATCAATGTCGATGGATCAGACGAACAGAAATCGCAGACTGAAATGTTCGAACCTATGTTTATACCTTCTCCTTTAGACAGCAATGCTAAACATAACAAGAAAGCGACAACAGAGCCTGTGAAAAAGATACGGAAGCCTATTAGGCAAGTAATAGTGAGAAAGCCAGTTTACGATGACGCTTCGTTCCGGTCAGAGCCCGATGATGAAGAAGCGATGGCCGATGAAAAAATGGAAACTTACTACAATCCTGGAAGTCAACCCATCTTGACATATGATGGAAAACAAGTCGCTGGTAGTGTTGCTCCACCTGTACCACCTCCCCCGAAGACCAGTCCGAAAGGATCCGAACAGCTGAAGCATTCACCACAGTTCGGACCGTTTAAGGGTGAGATTCCACCGCCAATTCCCAAAAAAGTACCTGGAAACTTTCCTCAGTTGAAAGAAACTAGTAGACCTGTCGCTCTTCCACAGACATCTGAGCTTCTTTTCGACAAAACTAAAAAAGAAGAAGTTGAAGTTGTAACAGCGCAAGCAATTCAAGAAGATCTGGATACAGATAGCCTGAAGAGGACCAAAAGGAGTTCCCACCACCAGCCCGAACACTCCGAGGCTGATCCAACACAGGACCACTCCCAGGACGATCATTCAATGCATGACCATATGCAACATGATCCAACAACGCATAAGCAAGACCAACCAGATAATCAAAAAACCAGTGCTGGTTCCGTACTGTCTGCGGCGCTTACGTTAACGATGTCTTGTGTATATCTAGTTTTGTAATAAGTTCCAAATGTTACATATATAACATTAATTTTAATGGACCGTTTTAAGTCTTAAGGGACGAATGTTGTAAAGCCAAGAAGGAGACCATCCCTGCCAAATGAAAAATTTAAAGTTTAATTTTTAATAAACAGCTGTGACGATTGTGTAAATATTACTTTTAAAATTAATTTATTCAACACTGATGTCTGAGTGTCTGAGGGTTAGAGAGGACTTGATAGTAAAATCAAAGTTTTTTTTTAACTTATGTAAATTATCAATAAAGTTTTAATATGTAATTTGTTAATATACATTTTATTATTTTCTATTTTCTGATTTTTTTTTTTTTTTTGGTCTGTGGTGCCAACTACCTCTGAATTTCTTTTATATTTATTACAGGACTTGAAGCTTTTTAGAAAGTTCCATCTTAAAAGTCTCGAAGACGCTTCTTTTCGGGGGGTGTTATGGTAAAAGATTGAGTTTTAATTATTTGTCTTATTCCAAAAAAATAAATTAAAATGGAAAATAAAGAGTAATTGGACATGTATTATACATAAATATAATTTACTTGAATATCAATATTGGATTGCGTGATTCTCGAATTTTCTTTGTCGAAGTGGCTACATAATTACGATATTTTAGATCAATTTTTACATTAAAAGAAATGAAATTTTCCATTGGAAAAACTTGTATTTCCAAGAGGATCGAAGAAAAAAAATAAAGAATTAAAACTCATGTCATATTGAAACTGATTAAAAATAAAAATTAGCGTTCCATGCCCAGATTTATCACATGCCTTTATTAATTTAAAATTAATTTCTATTGAAACAGAAAAAACTTTTATTTTTAAAAAATTTCGGTTTCACTAGAACTTTTATTAGTTTTCAGTGTTTTCAGAACTAGGACTTTTGTCCCTTTTCAACTTTTCAGATAAAAGTTTTACAGAGCTTTTATTTTTAAAAACTTTTAATTAAAAGTTCTGTCGATTTCCGAAACAGGAGATCTAAAAAATAACTTTACCTAATAGCTACATTAGAATCAAACGACACATTACAATCATGTTTAATTCATTTGTGACAAATTATAACTCTAATCAACGCCCAATTACAGTTTATTTTTCGTTTAATGGAACTTGTTTTATGAACTTGAATAAAAATATAAGTTAAAGTTTTACCATAAACATGGAATTTTATTACGAATAAATGCCTTAGAACTTTTTCTGTAAAACGTTTCACAGAAAGTGTTAAAATGAACTTAAAACTAAAACATTTACATAAAAACTTTAACCCCTGCTATACTAAAAAAAAAATCTGAGGAAATTTTAATTTTTTTTTTTATTTATGATATTTGCAAACTGTATTAGTATAAATACATCAAGTAAATGTGTAAAGAGGAATAGAATCACACGAAAACGCTTGTTGAGAAACTACCTATTGGCAGTACTCAATTTTAAAATAGAAAGAAGAAATATATATATATATTCATTCCTCAAAGATGGTCTTATACTGATATACCTAAATTACCCTTCACTGTTTAACTGCAATTATTTTTCTCTCGAAATCTAGAAATACTATATAAAAAAAACTGAGGAAATTTTAAAATAGGAAGAAGAAATATATATATATATATATATGTATGTATTCCTCAAAGATGGTCTTATGCTGATATCTCCAAATTACCTTTCACTGTTTAACTGCAATTATTTTTCTCACGAATTCTAGAAAACTAAAGTCTTTTCTAACTAAAAATCTGAAAATTCTATTACTGATTATTCATTTAAATATAATATTTTCTGTCAAATGAAAAACTTAATAAGAATTAATTTGAGTAATGTTCCATGGAACAAATACTGCCATTTAACACATTTAAGGAAGGTTTCATTTTGGTAAAAGTTGGAATATCAAAAAAACTAGCTCGATCCTGATCGAATAATTTCTTCCAAAATCACCTAATGTTATATAAGCACTAGGAAGTGGATATCAATAAATTAAAGCACGCGCTATAATTTAAATAAAAAAATCATTGATTGCAACAAAAAAAAAAAAAAACAGAAGTCAACTACGATAAGTGAAAAATACATATTCTTGATAAGGAATATTTACGAGTATCTAGGAATATAAATAGTACTCTTTTGATAAGATCCGTTACGCAGTTAAACATTAAACAGTGTAGAAAGATAGATGAATAATTTTAACCGTATATATATATTGTCATATGAAGGCGAAATGTAATTTAGCTGGTGATTATTTCGGGACAGAGGCCTACCTGCAGCAGCCAATAAGGTATGTAAATTAAATATAAGTAGTAATAAATACAGCGTGTTTTAAATTATGGCGAAGAGATATGTCTTGTGAACGGTTTCCTAAAAAGTAGAATCTAACAATTTAACAATTTAATAGTCCGAACGACTGCCTCAGCTACTTGTAACTGCTTAAAATAAAGATGAAGAAGGCATGGAAGAGAAAAAATCAGTATCTGGAACCAGGCAAGGACGTCGTTAGGAATAATGAGTAGTATTGGCCAAATGCAAGTCTTGCAGTTATTATCTATTAATTGCTATTTATTAAACATGTCACTTTAGATCTTAGGGAAACAATACAGAATTTATACGCTTTATGTACATAAACATAGTAAAGTCTAACCCAATAAACTTGAATTATTTCTTTAACCAAGATCAAGTTTATGGGATACGGAGGAGGAAATGTTTCACCAACCCTCCCAATGATTTGAATAGCCAAAAGCTGGATAATTAAACCGATGAGACCTTACTTCAAAGTGCGATTGGGATGCTAAAACATTTTAATCAAAGAAATACTAAAATTTAATGATAATAAAAGGTCTAGCGAAGCCGAAAGTTTGATCCCGTCACCATCGAGCGCTGTCTACAAACCTTTCTCCATCGGTCCCCGTCCAAATGCAGTCCCACCAGACCAGCCTTAACGCAATCTTCCCACCTTCGCTTTGGTCTATCCATTTTGGAAATATTGGGCCTGAAGCCCCCCAAAGTTAACTCCTGTATCCGCTAGTGGCGCGAGCTAAGTAGTTTGACAAAACTAAAACGGAAAAAAAATACAGGCATTTTCCGCCTTCAACCGACACTTAATCTCCTCTTCAATTTCGGTTTTTCTAGTTATCATAAATCCTATATAACTAATCTCTACGTTCAAATGATGATCACCGAAATTGCCGTTTTTGCAGCTAACTATATATTTTGTCTAATCCGTATCAATTTCGAGCCCCAGTTCTTTACCGGCTTTCATGAACGTTGCAATATTTAATAGTTTTAAAGTTTCCGTTTCTTTGCTTAACAGGAACAAATCATCAGTAAAACAAGCATGGATATTGCTCCACTTAAAAACCTTTCTTGGTACGCATTGCCCCACTAATGGCAGAACATGTTAAATTAAACATAACTCAATTGAATGTTTTCGTCATGCACTCCTTAACTGGCTTTACTATTTTTTTTTTTTTTTTTAATCCTATTTATCTGATATACAGCTGGAAAACAATACAACTGTATTCTATTTTTTTTTTTTTTTTTGGGTATAATATTTGCTGTGAAGAAAATATTTGTTCAATGGTTGAACGCTCTGTCTAAATCTGCATTGGTAGTATCCGGCACATTCCGTGATTTGGTTAGTAAGGATTAACTTCAATATTTTATAACATACCGGAAGGAGTGAGATTCCTCGACAGTTATATTGTATTTCACTAAAATTTAATTCCGATACTTATTTATGTAAAGTTAAGAAACAGAGATTTTATTGTATACGAAAGCTCGACACTATAGGTGGAAATCTAAGCCTCTAGTGTGAATGAAAATGGGGCACTAATATTGCATCCAACGTTAAGGCTCGAAACAAATTATGAAGCTCTAGGAGCTCTTAATATAAGCAGAGGAATAGTACATATATATAAAATCCATGCCGTATGGATTAGAAAAAATGAAATTCGTTAAAGACAATAAGAAGACTAAAGATTTAAAAGACTTTGGTTGAGAAGGAGGGGATCCATCCCTCAGGACTTTTGAAAAACCTTGGAGTTGGAAACTTATTTTAGAACCATTAGGAATTCTTCCTTACCAACTAAATTAGACTTCGATTCTGTGAATAAAAAGGAAAAAAAATTCTTAATAATAGATCTGTATGATAACAGCCCTACAAAATCCTCTCTTTAATTCTGTTTTCAATAATGTATATAAGATTGATGAGTATATGGTGAAGAGTAGGAACTCAATTCAACAACAGTGGAATTTTATTGTGGCTACTCCCTCAGAAACAGTTTGGTAAATTTCAGCAATTACCAACAGAACTTTACACAAACATGATTTGTTGAAGATTCCTTCTTTGGTATTATTATGGTTAATGATGAATTCCATAAGTTGATTCAGTATTGATCTTGTGTCTCCTAGCATTAAAACAGTTTTAACAAACTATCGTTGATTTCGTACAAGTCGTTGAAATGAGACTTGTGAATATGGTCTGTCACATTTACAAGCGTATCAGTCTGAGTACCATAAGTAATGGAGTCAGTTTATAATGTTCTGGTTTACTTTTTTTTTTACCTTTCATGAGTGGAATTTATATTATATGATTGATGACTAAAGGAAACGTCCAGTTCTAATGTTTCCGGTCAGTGCACTTATTCAAGGGAGCTGAACAATCGTAATTACGTGTTCTTCAATAATTAATTAATGCCATTTGTTAAGAAGCATAGAGCTAACAAGGTTTAGCCACGCGTGCAGGAGGAAGTGTGCAATCAGACTGTTTAGCCTGCCTGGATGCAGCGAGAACCGGATCCGCTCATCTGGAACCTTCTCCAACTATAAGAAAGGAACGGTGGATCATAATTGACCAGTAGATCAAACTTAATATTTTTCGTTAAACAAGACTTTTATGATATATAAGTAATTCAAGTAGAACTATTTATAATAAGAAAACGTAAAAAAAAAAAAAAATTCTTAGGATTGCAATCCACTTCATAAAAAACCTCAATCTCCTCTATAGATTATTTCAAAGAGATGTTTTTACACGCTTTATTTTGTTTTTATTTCCTCACTACCGAAGGTGGGGAAGCATTGTATTCGTGTTAAAACAATTTTTGTGCTCCGAATCAAAAAATTCCACTTGCGTTTTACGTTTTAGACAACAAGGATCAAATTTGGTTCGGTGTCTGTCAGTATGTAGTCAAATCGAGGTAAAATATCGCCTATTTTAGTTCATCCGATTTTTATGAAATGTTTAGAGATTTTGCGAGTTAGTGTCTAGATGGCCCTATATAAATTTTATAAATTTCCATCCAGCACTTCCGCTTAGGCATCTATGTTTTTATACATG